ATACTATCAATCACAAGATAAAAATTAGGGTAAATTATTAACCATAATCATAAGTATCAAATATGGTTAGTTACTAAGCAAAATATAAATCAGTTTTAATTGCAAAATAATAATAGATATTTGAGTAGCGTTTTTACTAAATATATCAAATATGGTTAGTTGCATACTTTTCTGTTTTAGTATAATCCATTTTTTAGAAAAAAAAATTATTTCTAAAATATAGATATTTCACATTTCTAATGAATTATTTTTGATATGATATCAATATTATTATATGATATCTGAAAAAATATTTGTTATTTCTGAATACTATTTTTTTTTTAAAAACTATAATATTTCTGTTTCTCAAACTAAAGAAATATATGTTTTAAACAAACTTACTAAGAATTTTTTTTTCTCATACTACTGAACCTTATAATTCTCTAAAATTTGTAATAAATTTCAAAGAATCCCTTCAATTAAGTTCCATGATTTTTTTAAGTATTGAATTAACATAAATGGTTATGCACAAGTAGTTATTGTTGATCTATGGTCAAGCATACTTGGTTTATGGTCAAATACTATAGTAAATCAATACTTTCTGAATTTTCCAAACATTTTCGTTTGTAACTCAAATCTTGTGTGGCTAAAGCCTAAGTTTGATGTCTATATATATATATATATATATATATATATATATATATATATATATATCAAACTAAAGTTATTTCTACAGAATCACAACCAACCTAAAGAAAAACTGCGATAGCAAAAAAAAAAAGTTCTATGAAAATAATTAATTTACATAAAGTAATTGTTCGAAAACCTAGGAGTGAAGTTTTAAGTTATCTCGAGTTTGTGGTCCTCATTTTTATGATATCCTTTTTTAGTTTTTTTTTAAAAAATTGCATTAATATTCTTATATATTGATCTCTACAAACATGTTCATATGAAATTATGTCTTTGTAAATAGTTTTATTAATATTACGTTTTATATTGATCTTTGCAAACAAATTCACTGGAATCAAGTGTATCGATTATGTAACTAACGCTCAGGATTTACTTGATTTTGAACCTCCACGGATGCTCATGTTGCGTTATGTGTTTTAATTTTATGATCCATTGAGTAGGAAGAAGGTATTTTACCGTAAAACTCTTGCACATACATATATATATATACACACACATATACATATATATATATATATATGTGTATATATGTGATATAAGTTATTTAGTTGGTAATTTCAAATATATAATTAGAAGAAATTTGAATGATGTTCTCACATTTCGTTTGATCCTAAACTTTCAAGGATAGAAGTTCTCAAAAAGAAGTATACATGAACATTTTAATGTTTCTTGATATACGTAAGTTTTAAAAATTCAAAATATATCATATACAAAAATATATTACAATTATTTATTTTATCATCATACTTTGGTTATGAAATGAATAATTATATTTTTATGTTTTATTTTTCATAAATTAATAAAAAAATTTCCTTACTCTAAAATTTTCCCATATAAACACTTCAATCAATGGACATATCCAATACACAAACTTTGCTTAACAAAAAATACAAATAAACTTATATTATATTATCTTACACATTATAGTAATAACCTATTTCCATCACTCACCCCGCGCCGGGCGCGGGTCAACACCTAGTTATAGTATATAAGGGAAGAAGTGAATTTTGCACGGTTGAACAAAAATACGTATGTAGCTAGGTGTTTGCGAAATTGTGTGATTTTTTGTTCTCAAAAACAATTGTGTAATTTTATAAAGCATGACATCTGGCAAAATAGCAACAGGTTAATTATGATTAGCGATCATGTATCATAAATGATGTGCACGATATTGTATTTTCTACTAAGTACTAAATAGTGTACTATTAGAAAAAAATAACATGTCATGTTAAAACAAAAAAAAAATGTCATTTCTTACATGATGAACAAAACATTTACTAATTTGAGAGTCAACTGATAATCAACAGATTATTGTTTACTCGATCAAAATAGCCAACGACATTGACAATGTAGGATTATTTAGTGTAGATTCCTAAGAGATAACTAAAATAGTATTCTTCTGTTTAATTATAAGTGTCACATTAATTTTGTGCACACAGATTAATAAGATAATTAATTTTATATATTTGTATATAAAACATATAATTATTTATACATATAACCATATTTCAACCAAAATAAAAATAAATTACATATTAAAAATAATAAATTTTATATTAAAAACCGAAAATGACACTTATTTTGTAACGTAAAAAAATATCTATTGTGATATTTAATATAAAACGGAGTGATTATCATTTTGTCAGATTCATTGAATAAGGAATCCAGTATTTCGAATAAAAAAACAGGAAGCTCAAAGGAAAAACAAATGTACACTTGTTCTTCAGTTAAACATACTGGGTGTTTGTAAGAACAAAAAATTAAACTAGAAAATTATAAGAAAACCTAATCCTCATTAACATATATAAGTTCAGTATTTCTTTTGATAAATTCTTCGGTTACAGTATTCAACACATTCTTCCGCTTGTTATTATTAATAAACTATTTAAGCAATTTTTTTTTTATAACTGTTGGAGATCCCAAAGGTTTTTTAGGTCCAAAGACTAATCCCACAGAACCTATAGAGATCCGGGTTTTCTTACCATTTAAAACATCTATAGGTGGCCAATGCTACTCGAACTTAGGATGGAAACTCCAACTGGAATCCATTCACCACTAGACCAAAACGACTTGGTTATCTAAGCAATTTTTACTTTGTCCAATTACATTTCAACATGTAAACTGTATATATGTTATATATTGGCTACGGATTTTTCAGCAGACTGAAAAGAAACGCAATGGACAAATTAACAGAAAAGTTATGAACAAAGTGAGGAACAAAAGTTATGTACATTAATGGTTTTTTTTTTTTTAATGGTTCTTAAGTTTGGATATAGACCTGGCACCTTAATATGGGAAAGTTCGTGCATGCGGCCATTTTTTGAATTAAAGTTAATTCTTAAGCTTTATAAAGTATTTTCAGGCTACTCCAAGGAAAAAATTTAAAAAAACTTTTGCAACCAGACATCAATTCCAAACTTTTTACTGTAAATAACTCTAGTTTATTTTACTATAAAACTCAGAGCCTGTTCTCTATTTAAAAGGTCCATGGTCTTTTTAAAGCTCATATACATATGTTTATATATATACATATCTTTATATAGTAGCTATAACTATATAATATAGTTAAAAGGTCAAAATATACTATTTATTATGTTTGTATAACTTTTTTTAATAATCCGGATATCCAACCGTTCGAGACGCAATCCACTAGTCCCCTGGGACTTGTCCATCGGCACGGACAGACCAGGTTATTTGCAATGGAATTTAGAGATCCATGACACCTAGCTACACATTTTTAGTATCATGCAGTTGCTTCGATTTCGGTTAGCTTAGATCACTGGGATTTGTCTATCAGTAGAACCCCAACGCGTGGTTTCTGTTTCTTATAACTCACAGTTTTCTATTTTATGCATCTTTTCTTTGAATCACGTAGACAATCTTTTATCTACACAAAATATTTCCTAAATATTCACTTCCGTATAAATCTTCTGGTTTGATGGTTTACGATATATGCGATATACTCGTAACAAAGTAACTATGGTGAATTTCAATGAAATTGCCACCCCCACAAAAACATGCAAGATACAAGTGAATGTCTAGTTTAAATTTGGAAACAAAGATACGGGTTTCTACAATTTGGGAATATTTTAGGAAGGAAATTATACCGAATTCTCTGTTTTTCCTTAGTTGGTCAACTTAGGTTATTTGTATTAGAGACTTAGTCTCTATTACCTAGTCTCTAATACTTAGGCCTCGATTGGTACAGCAGATGATAAAGCAGTAGCAGTATGCTGCAGAAGCTGTATGCTACAGAAGCTGTATGCTTTCATTAAATTTTTCAATAAAGTGATTGGCAGAGCATTAGCAGTATACAAATTTAAAATTGTCATAATAGTTAGTAAAATAATATATTTCTTTTAAAATAATATATATATATAATATATAATTTTATTAAAAATAATTAATTTTCATTATGTAAATTATATTTAAAAATTAATTTTTTTTAAATATTAATTTTTTTTGGATATAACACATTCCTCATATATAAAATTATAGTTATAACTTAATTAATTATTATTAAATTATAATTATTATTAAATAAATAAATTAATTAATTATAATTTATATATAAATTATTATTATTTATTTATTGGCAGAGCACTAAATTACTCATATATAAAATTATCATAAAAGTTAATATATAATTTATTTATTAGTGTGTAAGTAATATGTTTATATCGATAATATATAAATTATATTATGTTATGTTTGTTATTAAAAATAATGAATGATATATGTAATTATATAAATTATATTATATTTTAAATGTGAAATATTGTTCTTTTAAAAATAATTAATTATAATTTTTATTTTTATTTTTTTTAAATATAAATTTAAATTTAATTATAAAAATATTATATATATTTTTACACAAAAATAAATTAATTATATATAAATATTATTAAGTTTTATATTTTCTATATGCAAATGCTCTCCCAAAAGCTCTATATGAGAGCATTGAGCAAAGAGCATTTGGAGAGCATTTGCATTTGGTAAATGCTTTTCTAAATGCTTCTTTGCCAAATGTTGATTGGATAATAGAGAGCATAATGCTTATGCTAATGCTCTACCA